TGTTAGAATTGTGTCGATGTCCCAATATTTCTGGATCTGACTGTAGATGTCACATAATTTGTATGCATATTTCAAACCAGCCAGGGTTCAAGAACAAGCACATAACCCAATCTAGAGAGTTGTGAAGGACAGAATCCAAATTCCCTTAAGAAATTATTTTTGGCATATTTTAGAACAAGGTTGTGGTTATGCGTAGGCCTTTTGTTGGACAACATGTACAACTCTTTTCAGATTTAAAAATAAGTAAGGTTTCTTTTTTATGTCTGCTGCTGCCTAGTGATGGGAGAAAAGTGAACAAGGAATAAGCAAGCACTTAGAAGAATGTATAAAAGGAAGAGTGTGTTGTGGTGTCAGGAAATAGTGAAGAGAGAGAGAATACCTGTGTTTAAGCAGAAAAAAAGGCATTAGAAGAGAAGAAAGGGAGAGAAGACATTTAGAATATATACAGTTTCAGAAAACCTCTATTCCAGTGGGACAACCACTGTTCAGCAAAGCCAAAATCCATTATGTTTTTGAGTGTTCCAGTTTCAAATGAAACAAACTCTGCCAACACCTGGAGTGATGTTATTGGACAAGTAGGGTAAGGTAGGCATGTGCTGCCCAACCTCTCTCCTCAGCTTCTTCCAGTGTACCATATCTTACAGCCCATCTACCTTCTCATCTTCCAGCACCTTACCTTTCTTATCTCAGTCACCATCACTGTGACCACCATGGGACATCTCACTGACCTGTTTGCCCCTTGTCTTCCCAAGGTCTGCCCTTCCCTCCCTTTCCCTCCTTTTAGCCCCATCATCATTGACATCTTAACATGTCCCACCAGCCTGCTTGCTCCCAGACTTCCCAGCATCTACCCTCCCTCATCTCAGCTACCATTAGTACCACTGCCAGTCTCTCCGGCATGGCATGTCCCAGGGCTCACCCATCCCCAGTCTTCTCATCAGCTTCCCTCTCTTTCCTCAGCATTCAGTACTGTATATCCCACCAAGCCAGCCCATCCCTTGAGCTTCCCAAGGTCTTCCCTCATCTCCCCTCCCCTCCCCTCAGTCAGCCACCACTGATGGACCAGCCTGTGCACCTGTTCCAAACTGCCCTGATCTCAGCAGCAAGGAACAGGCTTCCAGTGCAACACATACTCCCACTGCCTTCCTTCAACCCACATGCCTTCCTTCAAGGGCCATCAATATCCTTGGCTTTAACTTGGTCTCCTTCTGCCCCAACTAGTGCATGGAGCCACCACCTTTTGGACGGCTTCTGGAACAAAATATCCTTTAATATGTGTTATTAAGGTAATTTAGAAACTCAACTTTTATATTCACAAGTAAGTAAATTGAAATACTTTTGTAGAAAAATATGTAATAGGTCTAAATTAACATGGGACAGTAATTCCTAGTAAACAGAATGCATTTTTAAGAACTTTTTTCCTTTATGAATCAGGACTTCTTGGCCCTGCCAAAAGAGATGCATGGCTACAGTTAAGAGCAGAGATTGAAGCTCTCACAGACTCCTGGCTGACCAATGCACTTAAATCATTATCAATTATTAGTACAAGGTGAGTACAGGCTTAATTTTAAAAAATTATTTGCTATATTGCAAAAGCAAAACAATATTAAAGGCAGAAGCAGACAACAAAATGCTTGTAGGGACTCAATTTCCTGCAGATATATCCTGCAACACCCATTAGGCTTCCTGTATATGCTGACTTGGGGTTTTCCTGTTTTAATAAAAATTAAATGGATGGTGAAATGATAGCAAATAGTATTGTCTTTATTGATAGGAATACCTCCAGGCCCCATAGGCATCCTTAGAAAATAAAAATAGAGGATTACTGCAACAGCATATTTGGTTTGGAAGCATGGCCACCACTTGAAAATAGATGAAGGCGAGCAGAGTGGTAGGAGGGAGTGATGAGTGTTTAGTGACTCACCACACCCAACATAGAAGGCATTTTGTAAGAGCAATATTCCAAATGTGTCCCCTGGCCAACAGAATACCCACCTATCTCTAATATAATGCAAAGGTAGTATTATAAACAGAACAGTAGGTGTAGAATTAGTCTTCAGCCTATGACCATTCGTTCAGCAACCAAAGTTACCGCGGTGCTGAATGAATGGTGGTTATGACCAGTCTTTGGAGTTCCAGCCATCCCAGCATCCCTGTGGTCACATGGTTGTGATCTGGGCACTTGGCAACTGCTTTGCACTTATGACCAGTTAAAGCGCCCCACGATCTCATGATCACCATTTGCAATTTTCCCTGCTGGCTTCAGAAAGTCAATGGGGAAGCCAGCAGGGAAAGTTGCAAGTCATTAGAGTAAGTCTCCCCCACCTATGCACCTCTCCCAGCCCCTCTGCACTCACCCTGTGCCAGCCATTCATGCACTGTCCCTGACCCGCACCCTCACACACCTTTCCCAACCTGCACTGCACCCTTGTGCACCTTCCCTGTGCCATGCCTCTCGTGCATCCTGCCTGACCTACGCTACACCCTCGTGCACCTTCCCACGCACCCTTCCCACGCCATGCCTCTCGTACACCCTCCCCGACCCAGCAGCAGCCACTTACCTGCATGTTGGCCTGGGGCTTGCATTTTCCTGCCAGCTTCCCCATTGACTTTGGTTGTGGGAAGCCAGCAGGAAGTTGCCTTGCCTAACAACCGTGGGATTCAGTTTATGGTGGCAACCAGGACTGCAGGGATTGCCATCAATAAACAAAGCGGTCGCGCTTTACAGCTGCATTGCTTAGTGATGGGAATCCAATCCCTTGACACCAAGCCAGAATATTGGCCCATCATATTCTATACACTGTATACCCAGTAAAATTGTATTGATTTCTTTGTGAGTTCAAAAAATGAGAAATGCTGCAGTAAATTGAAAAAATGAAAATGGTATCTCAGACCAAAAAAAGGCTCTGATTTTCATAAAATAGTATAGTCTTTGAATCTAGAAACTCAGTTGAATGTGTGTGTTTATCTGTTGGATTTCTAGATCACCGCTGTCATGAATTTTCATAGTGTACAGAATATTATTGGAATGATTATTTACTATTACTGTAATAATAATTAGAATAGTAATTGATGGCTGACCTATCAATATAGCTGATAGCTATATTATTAGCTGATTTGTTTTTAAAAATTATATTTTATCATTGTGCAGATGTATACTCTGTCTTTCCCTATAGGAGTAACTGTGTAAATGTCTTGGTAACAACAACTCAACTTGTACCAGCCCTAGCAAAAGTGCTGCTGTATAGTTTAGGAGGTGTTTTTCCTATTGAAAATATTTACAGTGCAACTAAAATAGGTAAGAATATCAGTTTCTTTCAGTTTACATAGTTTACTGGATGGATTCCAAACCTCTTCAATAATGATGGCACTTTGGTTCAGTTAAGGAACTTCTTCACTTGTGAGAATCATGTAAAAACTATATATAAAGAGTCAGATGACTAGAGTGAGATACCTAGTCACAGATAATATATATATAATATGCTTTTGGATGTAATGTTCACTCTATTATAGTTAATGGGGTTATTCAAGCATTTGGAAGAGACACTGTGCAAACATGTCTCTCTTCTCTAATCATTAAAATAGGCTTCTTTTTTTTTTTTTGCAAGGCCCAACGATTTCTGAAGCAAAGTGTCTCTGCATGCTTGAATGCCTTTCAAAGCATCTGTGCAAATATACAGCTGTTTTGATGATTTGAAAAAAGATGTTTTCTTCATACACCTGGATATTGTGATACACCTTTTTTAAATGCTTTGCATGCTTCATTGACTCACAACATCCTTATCTAGAAACAGCTGACACTCTCCCAGTCTGGAAACTTTGTTGAACTTGAAAATGTTGAAGCTATAAAATTTGAGGATAAAAAAGGGCTACTTCTAAGAAAACCAGGGCAGCTTTTGAGATACCCAAGTTGAGAGAGAGCAGGCAACCTGGCTGTGTACATCCAGACAAACAAAAAAATTATGTGCTTTGTTAGGGTTCTAAGAGGACATCTTGCATGTTGACTTAAAATGCCAAATTGTAGCTCACCTGATTTTTAATTGATTTGTCGCAGAAGATAAAAAGAAAACAAAAAGGCAGAACCCCAATATTAGGGATGTCTAATCTAAGATTTTTTGTGTGTTCATCTCTTAGCATTTTTATAGATTACTGTGATACTTCTTTTTTGAGAGCTCAAATAAGTAGTGCATTATTTTTCAGGAAAAGAAAGCTGTTTTGAACGTATAGTGTCCAGGTTTGGCACTAACATAACATATGTTGTGATTGGAGATGGCCGAGATGAAGAACATGCAGCTAACCAGGTAACTTCTCTCTGAACTGTATCTCATTTATCTTCCAGGAAAAGAAAGTTGCTTTGAACGAATAATGCAAAGGTTTGGCAGAAAAGTAGTATATGTTGTAATTGGGGATGGTGTAGAAGAAGAACAGGCAGCAAAAAAGGTAACTTGTTTCATGAAATGTTGGTGTGTTATATAGATATTTATGCAAGCTCATTTTGTTTGCATTTCTGTTAGTATGGCACATTGTCAAACTGTTTGAGTAACAGATGCCAAGATCTAAAGAATAAGGCATAATCAAACCATTTGGATTCAAGCACAGGCTCTCTGATGATGGATGTGATATGGAAATTGAATAAAATATATATTGATTGAAGATCTTAAAAAAAGCTAAGGAACTCTAAGCAAATTAAACATATTAAATAGATTTGTAAGGCCCAGAAAAGTGGGTTTTGTGTCATTTAATGGAAAAAGCACACAGATCTTCTGACAAATCTGAAAAGTGGATGATATGCCAAAAGCTAGTTATTGCAAAGTATTAGCTATAAAATATATATTTAAGAAATTGATTAACATTTAAATCGATTTCATTCTTGAGACAGGTACAGCTTCATCTATACCTCATTTACATTTAGAGAGCTGTGACTTCTATTAAATTGAACAATAAACCTTTGAACACTTTGTGTTCAGCATAGAAAAATCATCTTGAAGATTTCAGCACTACATACTTGAAGTAATTAAAATATGATCATGTAAGCACCCAGTAATCAGTGTCCTTAAAGAAATCTAGCCAGAAATCTTCCATGTTCCAGTGCATTCCAGACTTCAGAATAAATATCAATAATGTGGAGAAAGCATATACGTTCAGAAATACCTAGAGCAATCTTAGCGTTGGGGATTTTAAAGGAGATTTTTTAATATATAATCAATATTATCTCCTGGTTTTCTTCTAGCAACTTTAGTTACAGTTAAATGCTGGTTCCAAATGGTTGCTTTATAGATGCAGTACAGTGTTGAGATTGTGTGGTAGCCTATTCAGGAAACTAAGCGATTGGTTTCTTCATTTTATAGTTGGCATGCTATCCTCTAACTGTACCTGTTGTGTGCATGAACAATGGTAGAATTAAAAAAAAAAAAGAAGGCAAGTTCTTCAAATAGATCTGCAGTCGGTGAAAATAAAGTTATTAAAATGCAAATCACACATGTGCATGACTTTTTGCAATGTTTTTAATGGCAGAAAAGGGGTATTCCTCATAAGAGTTTGTTTTCATAGTTCACTGGAGTCAGACTGATACTTGATAATCATAGTAAAAGTTTCAATTATTGGATAAATATATTCTAGGTGACTTTGTTAACAACTAAAGGGTTGCTTTCAAGGAAAGTTTCATGCATGACAGCAGTTTAATTTCATATATAACAACAAATGCAGAATTTTTTTGTATCTCCCACATAGACAGAGGTATATGTTCCTCTCTCTATGTTGTGGGTATACTCTGCATTCACTTTACAGGGAGAAATGTGCACATATTCTTTTAAATGTTAAACTGAACACAAGCACTAAAATTTAACATGTGGATCATTCATCTGCCTGCTTATTCTCACTTATTGTACATTCTGAAGAAATCACAAGGCATGACAGTTGTAAATTGAAACTGGTTGCAATGATCTGGTAAAAATGATTTGAGTAATATTTTATACACCATGGGTTCACCTTAGATTAGCAGAAATGTATTTTGCAGTGAAGATTATCACCTACCTGATTGCTACTAAATTTACTTCATTGAAGTGTAAACAATATTATTCTTAATATATGCTCAGTAAATAAAGTTGAATTTACTAAGGTGCTTATGCAGCTCCTTTCTATATTTCTTTCAGATCTATTTGGACATTTGCTTTGTTTTGTTTTCTTGTCTGTGTCTTACTAAGAAAAATCAGGATAATCAGAACATATAAAAGCAAATACGTGATGTGTAAGATGTATTGTTCATTTCTTCTTGCCTTCTCTCCCTCCCCTTAACTAATGCAGCATAACATGCCTTTCTGGAGAATATCTAGCCACTCTGACCTCCTGGCTCTACACCAAGCGCTGGAATTAGAGTATTTGTAACTGTTGTTACATAGTTGACAAATTCTTTTTTATATATATTTCAAAGTACACTGAATTTTTTTACTTCGGATATGGTGCCTCTGGCTTTACACATATTATGGTCTTAAAAAGGAAAAGCAATATTTGGATTCTATGGTGAAGAATTCAGATCACCGAATGGAGACACACATTTTAATACTACATATACATGGTCTTATATATTCAACATTTTTGATTATTAAAGAACTATAACAATGGTTGCTGGTACACACCAAATGAGCCCTAGCCAGAGTGAGCAACGTTTGCAATAGACTTGGAGGAGGAGAAGAAAAAGAAGAAGAATGGCATGCATTTTCTGAATGACAAGGGTGGTATTCAACAACATTCCTCACTATGGGATATATTCTCAGCACGGAGGTTTGAATCAAACTTTAGGCTACCTACCTGACCCAGAAAATTGGGTTGCACTTGGACTATACAATGAATCTGTAATATGTGTAAATTATTAATAGAAATAATTTACTGTGACACTAGCAGCTGACTTTGGAAGTGGATGCAATTTATTATATTGTTTTGTTTTGTTTTGGAGGTGTGTGGGAAGGGGGTATATAATAATAATGGTCTCTTTTATAAACTTGGCAGACAGAATGTGCATAATGATGTGTTGTGCCTTAAATGACAAGATCTTGTTTGTGTGTTACAGTGTAACATTGGTTTAAAATTATGTAGATAAAAAGATAAATCTTTGTGATCATTTTTGACATGACCAAATTTTGAATTCAAATAATCAGTACTGCATAAAAGCAGTTTAAGTGTTTGTTGCAGTAAGAGAAAAAAAATATATAGCTGAAAGTTAGTGTTTTTATTTAGATTCTTAATAATTCCACTGATTGTATGCAAATAAGTTTTAAAAAATATCAAAAAGTTGGAATATTGGGTACGGTGAGAAAATAATATGACAAATTGTTTGAGAACTTTTCCTCCATTTTTGTCTTTGAAGAAAAGAATTATAACATGGATAACCTGTGTTGCAGTGAGTTTAATTTTATGGTATATGTGTAAAAAGCGACAGGCTACCTATTGACCTGGTATCAAATTATGTAGTATATTTAACATGCAGTAAGATACATATATGGTCCAATGAAACTTTCAGAATAAAAGGAAAGAACAAAGAAAAAAGTGAAGTCAAAAAGGAAAGGGAATTACTAGTTATTCATGCAACAAAAGATACAGTAGACAAACCAAAAGATAACTAGAAAAACAATAATATTCTCCTAAAATTAAATTGTTAAGTAAACTAAAATGTAGTCTATAAATTGCCCACTATGTGGTCCAGTAAAAAAACAAAAAAAAATCCTTCAGTTCATGAGTTTCTACCAGCATTTAAATCCTTCATAACTGGCTTTGCAACTAACAGGTCAGCATGAATCTCAGTGGAGGACTCTGTTCTTCTCCAGTCAGTTTTTCCTACACATACTCACTATGCTTACACTTAATTTGCAGCAACGTTAGAGTATATTATGGGTTCTTGAATAAACCACAGTTGGCTTGATTCATATAATACATTAAGCCAAAATCAAAGAAATCATATTATGGCTTAGCAGAATGTGTAAATTTAGCCCTGCATATTATTTTGACCCCATGCATGTATAATAAGAGTGTGCAAGTCATTGGTTACAAAGAGGTGGGGGCAGCATGTGTGGTCATCCTGTCTGTGGCAGCACCCCGCTTTAGAATTTTGTCCCCAGAGAGCTTAAACAACTCTGCCCCCGATGACCTTGATGTGGATACTTTTGTTCCTCTTTTAAGGATTTTTAACATGACATGGATGGTTTTAAGTTCACCTTGTTTATTTTAGTGTTCTGTTTTACTACTTTT